CGGCCCTGCTCTGAGCCCGACCAGGGGCTGCACCTAGGGATTGGGCCTGCCCTCTGCCACCCGGGAGCAGGCCTAAGCCAGCAGGTCATTATCTCCCGAGGGGTCCCAGACTGCAAGAGGGCACAGGCCAGTCTGAGGGCCCCCCCCTTCCCCTGAGTGCACAAATTTTTGTGCACCGGGCCTCTAGTAATGAAATAAAATATTAGAATTCACTATCCTATGTAATAAAAGCCTAATATGGGAAGTGTCTGGTCATTGGCTGTCTGTTCAACCAATCAAAGTGTAATATGCTAATGATATGCTAAGGCTGCTAAACAGCTTGCTATGATGTGCACTGACCACCAGGGGGCAGGTGCTCCGACCAGTAGGTTAGCTTGCTGCTGAGGTCCAGGCGATCGGAACTGAGCGAGACAGGCTGGACATGCCCTGGAGCCCTCCTGCAGTCCCTCCCCGGCTGGCCAACCTCCAGCATCCCTCCCCGGCCCAATTGTGCACCAGTGGGGTCCCTAGGCCTGGCCTGTGCCTTCTCGCAATCCAGAACTCCTCGGGGGATGTCAGAGAGCCAGTTTTGGCCTGATCCTGCAGGCCAGGCCAAGGGACCCCACTGGTGCATGAATCCGTGCACTAGGCCTCTAGTAAGAAATAAAAGTCTTATTACAAGAGATGATACACTAATCTTATATAATAAAAGCCTAATATGCAAGTGTCTGACCATTTGTTTGACAGTTTGACCAGTTGCTATCATATGCACTGATCACCAGAGGGCAGATTCTCTGACCAGTAGGTTAGCTTGCTGCTGGAGTTTGGCTAATTGGGACTGGGCAAGAAGGGCTGGACACGCCCTGGAGCCCTCCTGCAGTCCCTCCCTAGCCCTGATCATGCCCTGGTGGGGTCCCTCCGTCTGGCCTTTGCCCTCTCACAATCTGGAACCCCTCGGGGGATGTCTGCAGGCCAGGTCGAGGGACCCTACCAGTGCACAAATCTGTGCACCAGGCCTTTAGTAATAAACATATGAAGAGATATCCTAAACACATTGAACAGAAAACAATAGGAAAAATGTCATAAAGAATATCATGTTATCATTATTCAATATTTAATTGAGTATCCTTGAAATTTACCTTTTTAATTATTAATGTCATAAAAGTATCTCTTCAAATAAAGGTATACTTTTTAAAATGAATCTTCATTGAACCTTGTTACTTTATTTATAATTTCTACCTTCATAAAGCTTTTAAAAATTAGCAAAACTAACTGAAATATAATTTCAACCATAAGACCTGAATGTATATGCCTAAATCTATAAGGTCAAACCTTCTCAGTCAAAAACAGAGACTTAAAATGCCATACCACCTGGCTTGCTGAACACAGGACAAATAAAAATCTTTTCAAAAGCTTTACAAGTTACAGGGTTGACTTTTTCAAAGGAAGCTGATTAAAGGTTAGGTGGTTTTTATTTCATCTCCTTAAAATCGGCACCCAACAGAATGTTAACCATTAATAGTTTTATACCACACCTATTTCTTGTTGGACTCTTCTAGGGATACCAGAGATGGTTTTCCTCCTCCTCAGTTTTCGTCTCCGCTGTAGTACAGATTGTGAATGAACAAGAGAGCAGCGTATACTAGCTTCTCTGTCAAAACCAACTCCTGCAACCCACAAATAAATCTCATTAGCCTTTAGAAATTGCAAACACATTTTCATTTGCTTGTCACACAGTGATATTTATTGAAGTAAAGGAAGAATTTGAATTAAGCCTATAAACAAATATAAGGGAGCCCTTATTCAGCTCTTATTTAAATTATGCTGCAGTACATTAAGCTTTACTTCTGAATGCAGCTCTCCACAACAGCTTGAACTGCCAAAATTAACAAGAAAGTAGGAAAATCAAAAGTAAAAGGACATAAAAATAACATCAAAGAATAACCCTCATATACAAATGATGCTTTAAGGTCTTAAACCTTTAGTTACTACTATTTACTGGTCTATTTCTGGGCTCTCTGAATCTGGTATCTATACATAGTAGATCCAGAGCCAAGATGTTAACCCAAATTAGTTCAGCTAACATATCCTGGCCCTTGTCTTCGTTAAGTGCATCTTTGTATTTTTCCTCTGTACCCACTATGCCCGCCCCCTAAAACACACACATGCTGAGAGGAAACAACAGCCTAGAGATTTGTTTTTTAAATCATCATGTATAGTATATCAACATATGTGTAACTCCATCTATTGAAAAAAATCCGCATTATTAACTGTTACATCTAGTAACTGTCTACTCTCTTCTACGGACTGAAATGGACACTTTTTGGTTTAGCACCAGTGTCTTATCACTATATAATAAAAATACAAGGCAGTCCTCAGTTCTGTACTTAAGTGGATCAACTATAAATAAAGCTGGAATTCCCAATATTTACAATGTGTCTGTTTGCTTTAGTAAATACAGGGGGAAGACCATGATACCTGTTAGTTTCTCTATCCATAACCACATTATTGACATAGTATGTGCATTCTTATCCAATCTATAACACTGAGGGAGGAGGTAAAAACTTTAACTCCTCTGGCATAAGTATGCACCATGTATTTTTCAGAGTGAGCTTTGCCTCAGGAAGCCATGATAACAAAAGTGCTTTGGAATTTGATTGTCTCATCATTTATCCTGATTGTTAAGTATGGGGCAGGATGGCATGTTAAACCTTGTTGAGCTATATAATGAAACAGTTTGGGTGTTGCTTAGCATCACAGTGACAACAGTTTCTAGAGCTCACTTTGAAAAATCTGTATGAGATATCATATGATGAATAATTACAATATTATTGGAGAATTTGTACTAATGGAATTTTTCTTTCTTAATTCCAAACAAAAATTAAAATCCTTCATTCTAATCATAATAACTATAGGACACAGAGCATACAGACACAGACACTTTGTGTTATATGGGCATAATCAACAACTTGCTCTGTAAAGCTCTTGAAATCAACAGATAATCTAGACTTTAGTCTGAGCATTCCTAAAATAAAGCAGAAGGAAAGATCTTCCCCTTTCCTGAATCACAAGACCCATAATCAGAAGTAAATTTGAAAACAAGATTTTACTTACAGTACCATGAAGAAAGCAGGTGCTGCTAATAATCAGATGTCCCCAGAACTGAAAGTTAGTTTATGAGGATGCCAAAGTGATCCATTTGACAGCTGAACTCCCCTAACCCATCCCATTTAGATCATGGGGATCAGATACATATTCTGAGAATAATTTATTCTATAAGTTGAATAGGTCATGAAGAAAATGAACCACCAGCTCAGTCAGCTGACGACCTAGTACTCCTTTTTTATTTCAAGAAGGAAATAACTATGCCAAATACAAGGTCATCATTTGATCCCCACTTTATGTGAGAGAAATTTGAGTGGGGTTAATAATAGCTGTGTCCAAATTTCATCTCACGTAACATGCAATCTGTAGTCATTTGGAATAAGGATGAAAAATCAGTCATAATATGGCCATTTTGAAATTTTCAATATATAAATAAGTTAAAATATAACTATTAGAGAAGTTTCAAGAAAGCCCAATAAATAGGTCATTTAATTTCCATCTTTGAAAGAATATTTTATAACATTATTTTACTTACAAAGATTACCAGATCCAATTCTGGAATTTACAATTGCTGCCAATAAACTTTTCCAGAAAAGCCTAGACAGGCTTGTGTTCAACCTAGAGTCTAGACTAATATTCACACTCTCAATATACAGGAGGAGGAAAGCAGAGTGCACAGAAGACAGGCTTTCTGGCTTTAGAGTAGAATTCAGCTTTCGTCTATGAACCCATATATTTTTAGGTCAAAAATCCCTAAAATCGCTTCATAATTCTAAACAATCTTTTAAACAAGCCTATCTTCATCCAAGGAAGCATGCAAACAGATTTTATACTTGGTCTACAGGATCATTACTTGCAGTTTGATGTTTTGTTGTTGTTGTTGTTGTTTTTCCTGCTGTCCATGCGTCATTATAATATGATTAATCACTACTGCTTTCTCCATTATTTCAGTCAGTTATGGCCAAAGAACTATTTGGTGATTTTTTGTTTCCAAAAAGAAACTGTTAATCATTTACATGACAAGGGGTCCAGTGAAACATATGCAAATTGATGTTCAAAGCCTGACAAAAGCATATTGAACATCTTCTGAGTTGTATTCTGTTAAAAAGGTATTACTTGTTCACAAAGCAGTATTCTTAATTAGTATCCCCCAGCAGTACATGTTTTGAAGACATTTACTACACAGAATATTCTGACCCAACTGCCCCTAAGAAAAGAACAGAACAATACCAGTGACATTGATGGGAATAATGCAAGAAGAAATCACTTGAGCATCTTGTTTCATCTTCTCCTCTGGTGTCGGGAGAGGTAGTGCTTTGCTCCAGTTGGTCTGCTTGTCCAGTGTGGAGGGGATATTGTGTACTGGGTTTTTCGGCCTTTGTCCTAACATGACATCTGTATCTTCATCCTCCGGGGGATGGGACTGCAAATGTAGTACATTGGAACTCAACCATCAAGGTTTATATAAAATCACACATATAAGGAATTTCACAGTTTAGTTAAGAAAGATTTGGTCAGAAATAAGCTTTTAGGTAAAAGGAAGAATTCATATAAATAGTAAACACAACTAATTGAAAGTTATAATTTTAATAATAAAGTGACACAAGAGGAAAAAGTAAGTTAAATAAACATGCTTTTCAGGTCAAATGGAATTAAGACAAGAGACAAAGTAGCCAGAAATCCCCAAACTTCAATCTGAAGAGAAATGTAAGTCTCTAACCCAGTAAGAGGTAGATCTACTTTCTTGATATCCATCTTGCCATAAATTCCTATTGAAAGTCTTGAGAGCTCTAGATGCCTAGGGTCAAAAGGAGGAGATGATTTGGATGCCTATGAAACATTTTTGAAAATGTGCCAGAAAACCTGGAATCAGGAGACATTCCAGAACACATCATGTGAAGGACAAACCAACCTAACCTGAGAGACCGGATTAAAACACAAGGAGTTATTTTACTCCAGGACTATGGAGTTTGTGAATAACATTTAACAAACACTATATGCACATGGAAAAGCAAAAGTGAAGAATCTCTCCCCAAACAATAGTGAAAAATATAAATGGTGTTGGGGGAATTCAAATGGGTTTCTTTTTCAAATCTGGAAGAGTAAAACAGTCCTTGTTTATTATCTTTCAGTTTTGCAGTGCTAAGCTTTTCTTCCAGCTGTATAATTAGAGGCCTTGACTTCTACAGGACATTTGAAAATTCTCCATCCAAACCTTTGATAGATATTAATATTGTCTGATTTGATTTCAGGTTTGGGTTCCTAGCCCATATTATTAAAAAGGCCCCATCCCAATTTTGATTTCAGATTATTAAAAGACCTAGTTTCCACTACCGAACCTAGTTTTATGTCTTTCCATAATTTGGAGGAAGGCAGGTTTTGTAGAAAAAATAATTCTTCCGTTTGTTCCAGTTAGATTTTAATAATATTCTGTCCTACAGTCAGGACCATTAAAAATTTTTCTCATCTTCATATTTGTAAGCATTATGCCCTGTTGACTCAGAGGATTTCACATATTGCCAAATGAACTGTTCTTAAGTCCCCTTAAAGAGAAGATTCCAGAGCCAGTTGTTTAAACTAACCCCCAACATTTGCTTACCTTGTTATAGGTATCTTCAAAGCCCCCTAATACACCCAACAGGATAAGATCCCCCCTTTGAGAAAAATGTGTTTGCCATGAATGTTTTAGTAAAAACATTGCAACTTTCTTTCTCTCTTCAGCTTTTGTGCAGACTCCCAGGGAAGTGAAGTTGGAGCTCAAATAAAGTTGGAGAACAAAAGACTTTGTTTCCTAGGTAATTTCCAAAAAGAAAAAAAAGTTTGGTGCATGCAGAAAGAATGACAGAAAGAGACAGAGAGAGCACAAGAGCTGGAGAGAAACCCCCACCACCAATGGCCACATTTTGTAGGTGATTCCTTCCTTGAATGACAATGGACTGGGAAACAAAGAAAGAATAGTGACCTGACTGCAGGTTCTGACCAGCAGCCAAAAGCACTTTTTATTTAATGGTGACAGACAATTGACTGCTAGAGAATCCTTTTGTCCTGTTGTCTGTTTGTTTGTTTGTTTTTATTTGAGAAGACGAACCTTTATAATTTTGATAAATATAAGGAAGTGGAATTTCTTTCCTCCAAACTACAAAGTCCAGGAGCAGTGTTAGGTGATGCTCTTGTTGACCAGAGCCTTATTTGCAACTTAGGGGTGTGTATGTGTGTGGGGAAGTAAATGGAAAGTAAAGTCAATGAATGGCATGGCTGTCTAAATCATAATTCAAGTTAGGAAATTTTAATTTTAATTCAAGTTAGGAAAATACCTACTCTTTAAATTGATTTAAAAGAATATCTGTGTTAGTTCAAAACAACAGAGTTTGCCACAAAGTAAAGAGAAGAAAGTGGAAGTGTCTGGAGAAAGTGGGATAGGGTGCAATGGAATGTTTTCAGAACCAGTACCTTTCTACTCCATGGGGTCATGTGGCAACACTCAGTTGGGGAGGGCGAACGGGTGCTGTTAAACTATGAACATGAAATGCAAAAAGAAAAAAATTAAAACATGCACACAACACACTGTATACCCTGGTTAAGACAAATCTATGATATTAATGAATGAATGTAATGGGATAACATCTTCCTTCCTCCCTTTTTCCTTCCTTCATCTGTATTTTATGAGAAGTAGCATAAATAGTGGTTAAGAGCACAGGCTCTGGAGCTAGACCGAGTTCAAATCCTGGCTCTACCACTTATTTGCTACATAACTGGGACAATTACACAACTCTTCTAAGATCAGTTTCCTCATCTGTAGGGTAGAAAAATAATAGTATCTACCCTCCAGGGCTGTTTTGAGGATTACATGAATAAATATCATAATAGACTTAGAAAAGTCCTGGCACATAATAAGCTCTATATGTTAGTGTCAGCTACTACTATCACTAGTATTATTATTATCCCTACTTTGTAGCTGTAAAGATCTGTGAAGTTGTTTTTGAAATTGTAACTATCTTTTAGATTCCAATTCCATTTTCTAATTGGGAAAATAATGAATTATTTTCTTTCCTTAGAGTGAGTTTATTTTCCTATGAACTACTTGGAAGAAAATTTCCTGTGTAAAAATTCCTCCTTTGGGCTGTTCAGACTTTATCTCTTCCTCATATTCATTGACTGTATTTGATGAGCATGTGACCTGTGCAGTCACACAGGACCCCGCACTGAGAAGGATTCCACACTTATTTCACAGCTGTCACTGTCTTGAAATTCTTAGTTGTTGAGTAAGGGGCTGCATTTTCATTTTGCACTGGGACCCACAAATTATGTAGCCAGCATTCTTTGGAGAATAATCTGGTAACCAGAATCCACTTTTCAGTATCTACTAAGATGTTAGAACTCTTTTTAAATTTTAAACCATGTCAGCGTTGGATTCAATTAGGCTTCTATTACAGCACTTTCCATGTAGCATGGCTTTAATGTAACATGAATTATCCCTGATGTGTCTTTTTTCATTTATTAAGTTAAAAATTCCTAGAGGTCAGGAGCTATTATTTCATTTTCCCTTCAGTCTTTCATGATTCCAACAAAACTCTTCCTCATTGTAAGAGCTCTAACAAACTATTTGTAAACTTGAATGATACCAGCTCCTTTTTAACAGTGATGGGAAACCAAAATAAAGTAAGGATCATACTCAAGATCTCAGGAGGAATCAGGTGCCACAGATTCCAAGAGAACTTACCACCTTAGTGCAAATAGGTGAAAACAAACAGAGGAAACCACAAGTAACCCTTGGTTCCATCGGTGGCATGGTACTGACATATGCTGGTTCTAGTTATTCTAAAGCCACTGGCATGCATGCATTGTTGTTCATTAATTTTTATGCAGAGCAAATGCCATCTCCTCAGACATAGTTAATTTTGATCTATATATTATTTAAGACAAATGATTTTGTAGGGTCAGTGGCTTCCCCACTGAAAGTGATCATTTGATAGATATGGCATATGTGGCCTGAGTTCAGACACTTAACCTGGCTCTCTCATAAGAAGCAGTCACAGGTAGTGATGTGCAGGTCATAAGTAAGACACTGGGGTATACAAAACAGAGAGCAAACTCATGGAAGTAAGAAAAAGGGAGCCTGACAGTAGAACCTACATGGTAAAGGAATTTGTTTCCAAGAAACCAAAGGCTTTGGTGTCTCATGAAAGGATTTCAAAAAGTCAAACAGCAGGAAACTGCAAGGCAGAAAACATATTAATGATATTAATATATTAATTTTGGTAACTTGTCTTAAATCTCCTAAGTCATTTCTCCTGTTGAATATTTTTTTCAGGAGTGAGAGATGAGGAATGATTTTTCATCTGTTTGGAAAAAAAAAACCTATCCCATTAAACAAGCATGGGGTAACACCTGGAAATGACTAAGGATAGTAAGTCCAGAGAGAGAGAGAGAGAGAGAGAGAGAGAGAGAGAGAGAGAGAGAGAGCTCAATATGAAGTCAAGGTCTCCGTGGGTTACACTCCACAGAATATTCCTTTTCAACTAATCATTCTCTTGATAATAGTGACTCCAGCCTCCAGTTTGTGAAGGATGAAATTAGGTACTCTTGAGCTTGTCTGTGAAAGGATTATGTTCTTTGGCTCTACCACCTAGACCAGTGATGGCGAACCCATGACACGTGTGTCAGAGGTGACACGCGAACTTATTTTTTTGGTTGATTTTTCTTTGTTAAATGGCATTTAAATATATAAAATAAATATCAAAAATATGTCTTTGTTTTACTATGGTTGCAAAGATCAAAAAATTTCTATATGTGACACGGCACCAGAGTTAAGTTAGGGTTTTTCAAAATGCTGACACGCCGAGCTCAAAAGGTTCGCCATCACTGACCTAGACACAAGCACTTGAGTACCTGCATATGGTCAGTTGATTTAGAGTATTTTGATTCATAATATTCAAATAGGCTATGGTTTTATTTCTGCCATGAATTAGTAACTGCCATAGTATAGTGTTTTAAAGTATCATCTTTCCTAGGTGTTTGGTCAAAGGAGGTAAAATTTTTCTGATTAGAATTTTATGTGATGAATGCAATAATCAGTTCATAGAGTTTTTTTTACTAAATTATCTATGAAATAAAACTGAAAAAGCACTGAAACCTCAGGGCATCTCTGCATGGCCCAGTATGCCACTCCTTAATGGGTACAGATGGATAAGGTTAGGAAAAGCTGCATGCTGATCATACTTGTATGCACTAAATTATTCTTTAAAGGCTCCTTTTAAATGAATCCTATTGCTTATTTTGGTAAGATTTGTAAGGGCAGGAACCATTTCTTGTTCATAACTGTATTTCTACTGCCTCAGTAATGCTCAATAAATATTTGTTGTACTGCTAACACCCCCATGTTCCTGGCATACACAAGCAAAACAATCCTCTCTAAAGGAATAATATTAAATTATGTCCACATATGATTGTTCAGTACAACATTGTCAAAGTGAAAGATAACAAGGCAAGGAGGAGACAAGACAGCATGAGCAAGAAGCATACCAACAACAGATTATAGAAGCAGACCCATAGGGACTCCTGCTTTTGGAATTACTACTCCATGCAGGAGTAGCAGTGAACTACCTTGGCTTGCCCAGAATAAGTGTGTGGAAAGATTTTTAGACCATCCATTCATTCCATTCATTCATTCAAAAGCATTTCTTTGATGAGGGTAAAAATCAGCCCCAGTGAAACAAATAAATTAAAAATAAAATCTCCCTCATGAGTATATGCATGCTAATTGCATAATTCTTTATACTTTTCTGTACTTTTAAAATTTTTCATAATAAAATGTTGGAGAAAAAAAACGTCTCCTTCCTTTTCCAGGATCCCATTCTGACCTTCCTACCACTGATTTTGAGAGGCCTCAGACTTTAAGTTGCACCATTTTAGAATCAGCCACTACCAGTTATGCCTATCTTGTCCCTGACAAAAGATGCTTCTTTGATACTTTCACCCTATTCTTGTTCCTGCTGGCCTATCAGTTATACTCTCAAATCCTTTCCCTAGATTCTCATAAATCTGCTTCAACAAAAGCTAGTTATAGTTATGGCGGGTGTTCAGAACAAGAAACAATAGGCATTATACTCAAAAGCAGTCAAAGACATTTCTTTGGTGAATAACAAAATACATTTTCCAAACCCCAATATTTCTAGTGTTGTGTATAAGGAAAGTTCATTTCTTCACTTTTGTGGCTATTTCTCTAAAGATCTCAACATTTTCCCCATCCTTTCTCTTGCTGCCAAAAGAAAAAACCATCCCTCCACATTTTACTTTATTTTTGGTTTTATTTCATATACTGATGGGGTTTATTTTGTTTCAGAACTTTCCAAAAGACATCTGTTAAAATGTTGTGGGTATTCCAGCAGGAAATGTTTTGAAAAATTGGCTTTGGCTTGTGATCTAACTGATACCACATGGCACTTATAGCAGTCAACTTTCAGAGCTGATTTATTACTATCATGCTGTCTTAAACATGAAAAATATTTCTAGAGAATGGATGTTGTGCAAGAAAGCCCACTGCATGGGAGAACATATTTGCCAATGTTATCTCTGATAAGGGTTTAATCTCCGAAATTTACAGGGAACTCATACAACTTAACAAAAGGAAGATAAACACTCAAAAACAAAATAAAACAATGGGAAAAGGACCTAAATAGACACTTTTCAAAAGAGGACATACAGATAAAAAACTGTGGTATATCTACACAATGGACTACATACTACGCTGCTGTAAAACAGAAAGAACTCTGCAACAGCATGGATGGACCTGGAGAACATCATGCTAAGCGAAATAAGCCAGTTGGAGAAAGATAAATATCACATGTTCTCACTATTTGTGGAATATAATGAGCAACATAAACTGATGAACAAAAATAGAGCTGGGGGGATCATATTTTAGCATATAATAGAAGTTATTTGTATATTTTTAATATTTCCTACAACTTTTGTGACATCATACTATGTTAGTACAGTTTTGGTAATATTATTATTATACTCAAAATCTTTTTTTGAAGTATTAATGTTTATTGCATGCAATATTATTATATTTAAGATCATTTTTCTTGAATAATTGGTGTTTACTGCATGTAACATTATTTTTAAAATAGTTTTTCTTGAGATATTAATGTTTATTGCATGTATTATTATATATAAGATTGTTTTTCTTAAAATATTAATGTTTATTGCATGTAACATTATTACATTTAAAATCATTTTTCTTGAAATAAAAAAGTACCCATTAAAAAAAAAGAGAATGGATGCTGTGGTACATTTAAATACAAGAACAAAACATTAGTTTGAAGACGACCAATGCAAGGCACACTGGGTTCTTAGTGAGGTGATCTGGGATCTTATTCTCATTCTATCCTAGGGCTTGTTTGTCCATAGACCAAGTCCCCACATTTCTGCACATATTATGACCCATCTGTGAGATGGAGGGGGCCTTGTTTGCCTCATTTTTTCTTCACTGGAGTGTTTATATGAGTTATACA